GACTAGCAGACATTAAATTCATTTTTATCCTTTTTACATAAAATTGAAACAATCCCTTCAAAGTATTTCAAATTAACTATTTCAAATATTTTGATTGGGTTGCTGGTTAGTATTGAAACTAATGGCCTAATTTCTGACAGGTTTTTGTGAACTAGTCATGCTTCCGTGTGGCTGCATCAGTGTAATTACTTCAAATTCATTGCATTCCTGGAAAGTCTTAATTTGGAACCCCCAAATATGGCTATTTATCTGTCTACAGTTGTATCAATGGGAGGAAAGGGTGAGGGGAGGGGAGGGTAAGGGTTGACATGTTGTATAAGCAGCATCTCCCTTACTGCCCATGCCTCACATATCTAGCCCCACTCACGACCAGACACAGCATGGACAAGTAAAGACTTGACACTTTACAGCTTATTGATTAAGAAACATGAAAATATGAGAAAAAGTAGATGTGAAATTAAAAAATAACAAGCACATGTAAATTTGGATATTTGTTTCTAAGGGCAATTTTCTAATTTATTTGTCATGAAATAAAACATACATTCAAATTGGTAGTTAACATATGACATAAGAGAAATGTCTTTTGAACAATATCACTAACATAGGAAATTGCCTCAGGCAAGTGGGTAATGCCTAGTTCTGTTCCTGCTTTGCCAAGTTTATCTCCATGGTTTGCCATTCCCAGCCTGATCTCAAGGTCTGATGTAATAGTGTGGAGCTATACCCAACTGCCCCTTACCTAAACAATACATTCATATTTCATATCAGGGTAACGACTGTGACTGTTCTACTTCCCTCCATTGTCCATGACATAATTCATTTCGACCCATCCCTAAAGAATGCCTTGTGTGTCAGCCTGTACCAGAGGATTGTTGTCGTATTTTCAGGGAAACTTCTTAAAAGTTAAAGAAAATAATCTCTTTTTTCCTCAACATGATCTTATTTTCTTGTGAAAATCTCAAAATTTTCTCTGCCAGCTATCCCAACTATTAAACTCCTTTTTGAGATCTCTGGCACACACTTCCCGGAACTTTTGTCTTGACAAGGCTCTGTCTCACCCAACAGAGAAATTCCCCGCCAATTTAACCCAACTCCAGCAATTCCCAAACCCGACGTTCAAATCTTAATCCATGTAACTTTTGTCTTTATGCTACACTCTGGATACATATTTATTTTTTGCATTGAGAAAATATCTAGACAGGAAAGTATTTTTCTGTAGAGTTCAAAGTGAAGGCTGTGATCAAGCTTTATTTGTGACGTACATATTTTGAATTGACAGTTAAACAGCTAACACCCAAATCTAGTCCAGATCACAAGTATACATTTCACAAAATGTCACCTCGGCTAACTACGCATATTTTGCACAGAGTTTATGGTTTTGGGCCTACAAGTTTGAGAGAAATGAAATGTAAATATATCAAGACCAAACCAAAGCTGAGAGATTTGTTTTGTGACAATTCAATATGTTATTTGTGCACTTGCGGGGAATGCTGTCGTTCCTTTTGTCCCCACCAACTCTTCTTCAACGGTCCTGGATTGAAGCCAATTTTTTTTTGTGTGAAAAGGTAGTTTTACTCATAAGTTCCAAAAAGGCCATATTTTACAATCTTGAAAAGACTGGCTTTGATAGGGAGGACAAAATCTTAAGCAATGAATGAAAGGTTGCGTCATATTGCTCTATCTTCTTTCCAGTGAAGGTGTTTGTGTTAACAGGTTTTCTAAATGGTTGGCATTTCAATAGTCAGTGCATATAGTCCCAATCACCCTAATTTGTAAAGACGTATCTGTCAGCTAAGAAATGCCACAAAAGCTATTTAGTGGAGTAAAACCGTCCACTGCAGTCAGCGTTACACAAGCATATAAATGTGCATTTGATTGTGTAAGTTACATACAAGTTGTAACCTGTGGTTTCCTGGCAATACACTGTTGTGTGTTTACAGGTATGGTAGTCAGTTAGAGGTAGGCTTTCTGTATACCATCTTATAGTGAGCAGTAGATGAATAGTTGTTGAGAATATATATAACTTCTGTTGATATGTCTTTATTGCTAAAGTTGACTTTCAGGCCAACTCAGAAAGAAAGTTGTTGGTACATATTTGTTACTGTTTTCAAGTGGAAGGCTCCTGTTAGTGAAAAGCACTGTTTGATGAATATCGTTCACAAGTGAATAAATGATATTTAGTCACCCTTATTATGATTTTTCAAGTTCAATATCAGTTTTTTTTTAAAATATTTTTTCTTTTATTACATATTATTTTAAATGTGCGGACCACATAACCCTTGCGTTTCATTATGAGATGTATTACAAGGAGTCACTGCATTCATAATTTCTAACGTTGTCGGTTGTTTTTGTTACATCATTGACTTCTGGATCCCATGTGTATCAAATCTTCGACTTTAGCCACCCGGGTGAAGTCAGAGTTGTCTAAAATTTCTTTAATCTGGTAGTATTAGCTGCTAAAACTCCTTATGACGAGACGAAATTCAGTTGAGAGTGATGCTGAAAGACTTCAGACTAGCGAAGCTCAATGGAATGTTTCAGTACAAAGTTGTTGGTTTTTTGGTTTAACCTGAAAATGGTTTATGTTGTTTAACCAATATCAATGTCACTTTAATCTTTTTTCTCGTGTTTCATGTACCGGTTTCAGAATGACTACAAATTTGAATCAATTATTGTTTTGCTAGAAATTCATGTGAAGCAAATCCTTTTTTATTACTTGGTTATAAGCTTTCAATGTTACAATACTGTGTTGGATTTAGGATAGTGATAAACATTTGTTTGTGTTCCTAAGCTACTCTAAGGTTTTATTCTAACATTTTGCTCAAAACATTTTTTGTAAGTTGTTAAGTGGATTAGGATCTTGTATTGTCAGATCGTGGGTTTGAATAACGGTTTTGTCCCGGTTATGTTTCTAGGTATGTCAGCACCATACCAGAGCTTGTTGGTTTCACAAAAGTATTAAACGTATGAGACCTGCATCAATTCTGGCTTTCCTCCCACATTTAACTGACACACCATGATGTAACTGGAATAATGTTCAAAGCTGTGTTAAACCTAACTCACTCACTCTTGTATTGTCGGGTATTCTAATTATTTAAAAACATGTCAGTTAAATAGAATGGCACAGTAAAATGGCCATAATCTAGAAAGCTCGAGGATGAGAGTCATTAGCTCAACTTGAAAGGGAAATTATGGTGTTAAAGCAGAGATATCTTTATGTCCTAGATAATTTTACATATTTGATCATAGCATGTGTGGAAAGAGATTTTTTGTTCCTAAATTGCTGGAGCTAAGGTCGCTGTGTCACTTTACCCTGGCGTTTGATAAGACCATAATTGCCCTGTTATCTGAAAACAAAGGTTTTGAATCAAAAATACAGTTTTAGGTTTCATGTGTGATTTTGTGTCCTGGACATGTGGTCTCCGACACACGATACTTCCTTCTTTCTGGAAATGTGAAACATCATCTTTCATTTCTTCTCCTGTCCTGCCTCTTTTGGGCTACAACTTGAACATATCTTTGTGCAAATATAACCAGCTAGTTGTAGAGATACTGTACACTGTATAAAACAGAGTGTGAAATTCTACCTCCCGTGGTTTCTGTGTTGTGTGGAGACTGAACTTTGAGTCAAATATTTTGAAAGTGTATGATTTCAGTGTGGTACATATTGTGTTTCGTCAAGTGTAGCTTGAGTTTGTGTGGCTACATCTGTATCAAGATTCGCGTGATCATGACAAGCAGCATCATTTATGATGTTGTCACAGCTTATAAGCACTAGTTTGGAGTTTATGAAATGCATCTAAACTGTGTATTAATTGATTCACATGGGCAATTTGTATAAAATGAAGCCTCAGTTTCACCCAAGTTGTATATACAAGCATCTATATCAGTGATAGAAACTAACATGTTTAGCCCACTAGTCCTTTTATGATAACATATTGTAAAACCCTTAAAAAAACCTTCACTATTGGGTAGTTTGACAAAGACTACAGGACTAGTGCCAATTTCTAACGCTGTATATTTATGACCCAGATTAATAAAATTACCGGTATTCAAATTGTTTTCTATCTGCAGACAGAAAAAATACAATTTTTAAAATATTTTGTTGTATTTTCTTCAACCACCGGTTACCCTGTTAAGAATGATAAATTGACTTGAGACATAATAATTTGATACCTACAGTGGAGTGTCGCATATGGATCTCAGATGTTACAGAAGTGTCTCGTATAGATCACAGATCCATGGTCTAGTGGTAGAGCGTCCGCAAGGAGAGCGGAAGGTCCGGAGTGTGATCTCTGGCCGCGTCATTCCAAAAGACGTTAAAAGATGGTACTTGTTTTTACCCGGACTGGTACTTGTTTTTACCCTGTCTGGCGCTCGGCATTGAGGGGCTAAAACTAGGACTGGTCAGCTCGGAGTCAGTATATTGTCTGAGTGGGGTATTCATGTTAAACTGCGGCATGGTATCTCAGTGGGCTAGCACTATAAATTGGCATCAGTCCAGAATAGTACAAGCATCCACACACATGGACGCGATGTTATACCCGATTTCACCTCAACTCACCTCACCTCACAGATGTACAGCAGTGTCTCGTAAATAAAGATGTAATAGAGAAGGCTCTTTCATATTCATTCTAAGATTTAACATTCGTATAAATCTGCACCAGTGTGAACAAAGGTCAAAATATGTCCCCAGCGCTCAATTGTTTGTTGTAAATGGCCGCTAAATTATGTCAGGTGGTCAGATTTGTTGACATGGTTGATAACGTGTTGTTGTACTCCAACATCTTTGGACGTTACTCATATCAACCACTAGTTGTCTGGCCCAGACCTGATTAATTACAGGTGTCTATGACATAGCTGGAATATTGCTGACTGGTCTTTAAGCAACAAACAAACAAATCGTATTGATCTGCAATGTTTTCTCAAGTTTCTTCTATATTGATGTATGGAATGTTTTCTATGTAATTAGCAGTTGCATCTTTCTCTCTCTCTCTCAGGTCACCCGCATAGCACCCCTTCCCCCATCTCCAACCCCGCTACCACCTTCAAACCAATTGCACCCAGCATCAAACTCAGCCCTCCGCTCACCCAGTCTTCCTCATCTGCCACCCAGCACCATGCAGGTGAGTTGCTTCCCTTGGCTCAGCGTTTCACTCTATTGCTTTTGTTTTATATTAATCACTGTAGCATTATGTTGGCTGTGCTTTGAAAGATAGATATATATCTTGTCATGTAGAAGTCAGGGCTAGTTTTAGAATGTCATCTCATAGGCTGTAAAGAAATATTACTGATAGGGGTAGAATGATTGCATGTAATAACTTTTCTATATTCACGTCAATGAAATTTCTCTGTAGAGTTGACATTTCATGTGGTTTTTTTCAGCTTCCGTAATATGTATGAGTGGCAAACCCCAAGGGCCTCAGGACCCCCCTCCGTTAGGTTTGAACACTGAATATCTGTCTCATATAATGCATCGCAGCATGCTGTGTGTTAGATGATGATGTGATTGTACATTGCTGACACAAAAAAGACAAACAGACAGACTAAAGACCAACAGTTGTACATACATGTATATACATGATAGAATCACACAATGCACATGCATCGCAGCATGCTGTGTGTTAGATGATGATGTGATTGTACATCGCTGACACAAACAAGACAATCAGGCAGACTAAAGACCAACAGTTGTACATATATACATGATAAGAATCACACAATGCACATGCATCGCAGCATGCTGTGTGTTAGATGATGATGTGATTGTACATCGCTGACACAAAAAAGACAAACAGACAGACTAAAGACCAACAGTTGTACATATATACATGATAAGAATCTTGTGGCCGTCTCACACAATGCACATGCATCGCAGCATGCTGTGTGTGTGTAGGGCCCTCAGCACCAAGTGGTGTGCGAGTAGTTCAAGTACCTCCCCCCACCTCCGACAGTTCACTGGGTTAGTGCCGCCAATTAAACTCAAGTCCAGTCGTTCACATTACGTGAAAAATTTGGAGGATGTTAAATGATTATTGTTCCTTTCAACCTATATTTCCCACATTCCTGTTTGACATTTATATTACACAATATGTGCTTGCTATATTTGGAATGTGGAACTCAATTTTCATCATGTAAGTTTGAATGGAAGCTTGAGTTATTCTTGGTGTGAAAGGTTCGAAATTTCAAATTATAATTGAAAGCAGAGGTCGTAGATTCAGTATCGGATGATCAGCTGTTGCCGTTTATCATCTAACTTTATTGATTATATAATCATAGTTGTCACAAAATTGTATAAAAGTTACAAAATTGACGTTATACTGTATATACATAAACATTAATCAATATCACTTTATGATTAAATTAAAAAATACATATCAAGCCCTTAGGCCCAGACTTTATAACTATTTTGTCCAATATTTATTATCTGTGTTAGAAATTAGGGGAACAAAGTATTTGAGGTTTTCTGCTGTAGTATTCTAAACCAGGTTATTTTTTCATGTTTGGAGAAGAGAAGGACTATATTACTATATTTTTAAATATTGAACATTGATAATGATTTCTTTAGTAATAATTACTGTACATTATATTATGCACTTCATCCATAACCATCTTTCCTGGATTATGTCAGCTTGTTTTAATTATTGTTTTCTAAGTGGTGTATGTATAGGCAATGACCGCCTTCTGTGAAAGTGGACAAACAGAGACAGGGGATATTCATGGACAGGATAAGATGTACGAGTGTGTACCAAAGTAGGCTAATTGCCAGCTGTATATAATGACTCTCCCACAATATTTCTCTCAAAGTCACTCTCAACGATGACATGCTTCTCACATTTCTCAACTCAGCGTTCTGCGGAACATTTTCAAATGCTTTATATCGCATTGTGTTCTATGCAAATGTCCTTAGTTACGCAAAGGAACGTGAGAATTGTTACATTGAAATTAAGTTTTCGTCAGTAAATGTGAGCTTTATGCAAGTCAGTTTTACGAGACTGCTATTGCCCAACTCTGAAAGGGGGCCGGCCTGACTGTTGGTTGTCTGGGAGATTATATATCAAGTATATGGGAATATATCATGTTTCAGCATGTATCAGGTCAAAGCCTACACTGTAGTCGGGGTAACCAATGCATGACATGTATAGTCATGAGTTAACCAGTTTCTAAGGAAATGATCAGCATTATAATGTAGTCTTGCTCATTACTCTCATGTCATGCTTATGGGTATGTGTGTAATATATCTCTTTCTTTATTGAACTTTTGCATGCTGTAAGAAATTACAGATGATATGGGCAATCTATAATATTCCAACCCAATATCAAATGTTCAGTTTTTGAATTTAAGTTAGTAAATTCTCACACTTGACTCGTACCAAGATGATTAATGTTTATCTTAGTTTAATGATGAAAATGGGGATGTCAAATTATTAATTATTAAGTCATAGCAGGACAAATGGTTTAATGAAAAAGGCCTAAGGATTATTGATCCCGAATTACATTAAGTAACATAAAACATTATCAAACTAGGTTATGGATGGACAGACTCGTGTTTCCTTTAGCTTGATGCAGTGTTTGAAAGTAGGCCTGAAAGTCCAGTGGTCCTTTGTCATAGCCCTAATAATAACAGGTAAAGATTTAGGGGTCCCTTTATCGTTTAGACAAATGCTGTAGCAGCTACCTCAAGGACAGGGGACCCCCTTAATTTCTCTTCTATTAAAAGATTCCTAGGATCATGTGTTCAAATCTTAGACTTAAACCAAGCAGATCTTTGGCCTGTTATCTCGTACCTGTGCATACTTCTAGCTGTTTCACTTTGGGCTTTCGCAGTATTATTAAGAATACACATTATGATGTGACCGAAACGTGTGTTGAACCCAACTCAATCACATGCTAGTGAGACCGCCTCTGTGGTCTAGTGGATAGAGCGTCTGCCTGGAGAGCAGACAGTCTGTCATGTGATTCCCTTCAGTGTCATACCAAGAGACGTTAAAGGTGGAACTTGTTGTCACCCTGCCTGGTGTTTGAAATTGAGGGGATAAAACAAGGACTGGTCAGCGTAGAGTCAATATACTGTGTCTGAGTGTGGTAGCAATGTTAAAACTGTGCCATGGTATCTCAGTTTTCTAACACTATAAAACTAGCTTGAATTGGGACTAGTACATGCACATGCACATGCACATGCACATGCACACATTGCTATATAAGAGCAATAATCTTGGCGCAACATTAAACACCATATCATCACCATCCCATGTTAATGAGTGACATGTCTATTTCAGGTTTGAAGTCGAGTCCATCCTCTAGTAAGTCAAACGTTGGTGGAGAGTTCTCCAAGTTCCGCCTGAATCCAGCTGGGCACAAACTGTCTCACACCAGCTCCTCAGGGAAAACTTTCAGCCCGGATTACACCAAGTATCTCAAGCGGTACGGCACCATTTTGTCTTCATCTTGTTTGTCCTTGTTTAATGCCATAATATTCCAGCTAAATTACATCTTGTTGTTTAGTGCCCCACTCAGTAATATGCCACATAGTTGATGATGGCCTGTAATTAATTACCAAACAAACCTGTGATTATTATTATGAACGACAACCCACTCTTGACATGCTATCACGCTGACCACCTTATCCAATTTAGTTGCCTTTTACAACAAGCAGTAGAGTACTGGGGACCAATTCTAGCCTGGAATTTTTAATGTTATCTGTATCACAATAAGTGATACATAATTACGTTTTAGGCCACAATAAATCAATTAGTAGATTTTAGGCCAAATATTAAAAAATGTTGGTTTGGAGGTGTTTTATCAATTGGTTTACTGGTTTTAAAGAAACTGTTTAATGCATCTGTTTACATGATGGAAGGATGTGAGTGAGTTTGATTTTCTGCCGCTTTTGGCAATATTCCAGCAATATTACGGTGGGGGACACCAGAAATGGCTAGTGATGTTTAATTGCAAATTTTACATTTTCATTTGACAGAGATTGTTATAGCGTTGTTCATTCACCTGAAGCGATACGATGTACTTCTTTCTTTACCAACAGACAAAGAGTTTGATGAAAGTGTAACCTTTACATAAAGCGACCCCTTTCTACAGAATTTTCTGGTCCTTATCTTCGGTCATATATGGTAGCCTTTTATAGGGTTAAATCTGTCTGTCTAGAATAGAAGAAAAGCATACTGAGGGATAATTGAGAGACATGTTTGGCTTGGAAAGGTTCAGGGAAGGTCACATGGTCTCTCTGCTTGTTTCAGATTTCACAATGGCGAGGACTGTGGCGGCACCCACTGCAAGGACCTCGGCTACAGGGAGCACTACCACTGTATGGACTGCAGCTTCAAGGTGTTCGTCAAGAAGGAAGAGATGGTCCGGCACTTCAAGTGGCACAAGAAACGTGATGATTCCCTCCAACATGGCTTCCTCCGGTTCAGCCCCATGGATGACTGCAGCCATAAGTTTGGGACCTGTACGCACAATGGACGCCAGACCCACTACCACTGTCTACAGGTAAGAAAGTCTTTCATTGACAGGAATCAAAGAAATTAAAACGACACCCGATTCTTTCATATTACTATACTTATTGTTATTGCATGACAGATGAACTGTATTATTATGAAAGAATCAGGTGTTCTTTAACTTTGTTTTAGAAGTATATATGCAGTGACAATCCTTTTATGGGTTACTTATTTAAATTATGAAAATTTGAAAATTAATTTTGAGAATTTCACTGTTCACATAAGTAGTTTGAAAATATGTGATGTAACAATTCATAGTAAAGAATGAAAGTAACTGACCGTAAGTGAGAAAGTCAAAACTTCTTTATGTCCTTAATGCATGCAGAGCTAGGTTTGGTGTTCAGCTGTATAAGGTGTTGTTTGTTTCCTACAGCCTGGCTGTGACAAAGTCTACATCAGCACATCAGATGTGCAGATGCATGCTAACTACCATCGCAAGGACTCCGCTATCATCATGGAAGGTTTCCAACGATTCCGCGCCACGGAGGATTGTGGGACTCCGTCATGTCAATTCTATGGTCAACGCACAACACATTTCCATTGTCGACGAACAAGCTGCAAATTTACTTTCAAGAACAAAGCTGACATGGGTATGACAGAGTTATCTCCCTTTATTCTCCCGTATGATTTGATAATCCTGGCAATGAAATGATACAGTTTCATACCTTGAAAGAGTCAAATGAGGTTCCTGATTGTTTGAGTGTCTTTAGAATTTAGGTTATCAATGACAGTAGATTCATATGAAAATGATCCCTGGATAGTTGAGGACTTTAATGTCTTTTGTATATTGCCATTCTATTTCAATAAATACCCTGCACACATTGGACACCATTGCTTCGTATTGGAAGATATGTCATCTTCTCTATTGCTCCTGTCTCTAACTTTGCACAGACTTCCTCTCGCTCTTGAGATTGATTTGACTGGATGGCAATTTTCCATTGTGCTATTTAAGTTGGACTCAAAACAAGATATGGTGGCGAATGGGTCCAGAGTATTTTTTCAAAATAGAATGGAAATTTAATGCTGTAGATAATGGAATCTGGAAGTCAGCTAGTGTATGTGACTGCCTGTGTTACAGAGAAGCACAAGAGCTACCATCAGAAGGACGAGATCCTGGGGCGGGATGGGTTCAAGAAATTCATGAAGTACGAGCACTGTTCCTACAAGGCTTGCAGGTTTTCCAAAATCAGCAACCATATTCATTGCATCAGACCAGGTGAGTCTTTGAAGGCTGTTCTACTTACTCGTTTAGCTAAAAGGAGCTGTACTGAAGGTTTTATCTATAGTTAAGATCACAGGAATACAAATTGCAAAGTGGATGAAGATTTGCTTTCGGAATGTTCAGAGATTGTGACACATGTATCAGTGGCATGCGCTTACATTCACCTCTTTACTTGCAGGTTGCAACTATGTGCTGCACTCAACAGCTCAGCTGTATTCCCACAAACGTAAACACGAACGTCGGGACTTTGAGAACGCTTACCGCAACTTCCGGCAGGTCCAGAAGTCAACAACCCCCCAGCCTCGCCCTGCTCAACAGGTGATTAGCTCCTTACAAGGGGTCTCTGCTCTGTCCGGTGCTGGGCAGATTCTGTCGCAGGTGCCCATGACAATGGGGACAGGCCTGGCCCATCAGGTCGTGCCCTCCATGTCTCTGCCTGTTAAAATCAAGACAGAAATGGAATGGCCCAAAGGGAAAAAGTCTGACAGCGGGAACAGTAATAGCATGTCTCCTCCAATCATGGAGAGGAAGGTCAAGGTCAAGCTTGAGCCGAAAGAGGTCAAGGACACCATGAGACTGGACCAGAGTTCAGGGCTGTTGAATCATGCGGCCATTGTCTCTGAGGAAAAGCTGAATGATTCACTGACCCTGCCAATCCCGTCTGCCATTAGTCCCCAGAAGGATAGCTCCAATCCCCCGTCGTCCGGTGAGAACACACCATCACACGGCATTGAACTGTTACGTCCATCTCCGGAGAAGAGAGAGAAGGATGAGTCCTGGAAGGCCTATCTTATCAGGTAACTTTAGTTTGTGCCCAAACTGTCTGGCCCAACCTTCCCTACTGCATTATTATGCCCCAAAACTAAAAGGGCAGGTGTTATAGTTATACCAAGGAATTGCTTCCTTCCGGGGACATTTGTTTTTGTCTAACCTATGACTTGGAAAGCTACTGCATAGATCCTTTTCAAACTATTTCTTTACCAATAGGAGAGGTGCAGTTAGAGGTTTGATTTCAATTTTTGGATTTTCTGGAAAAAAAAACCCGCTATTTTTCATTTTTTGTCTTGAATGTTTTTACCTAAACATATGTGTGACCTATAACTGGAAAGCTACTCATGGATTTTTTTCAAATTCAAGGAACACTTTCTGTGCAGTGATTTGATAAGTGGATTTTCTGAACAAAAGTGTTCTTCAGCTGATGTTGGAGTCAAGGTCGGGGTATTAGTGAGCCCTGTTCACTTTTAGCCAAGTTTTCAGTTTCTTCTGATATCTTGTTATATGAAAACCGTCTTTCAAATAACCCGTGAATAAAGTATTTTGAATGTTTGATGAAATTAAGCTACATTAATCTGTTCATAAAGTCATTAAGCTGAAAAATAAATACAGCTAGTACTGAGACAAAGAAGGTTGATCAGCACTATTTCAGTGGGCTTTATGTTTAGTATGGGACTGGCATATGCTTAGTTTTCAATGTGGATGGAGATTTTACACTTTGGCTTTAGACTGGTGGGGTGGGCCCATGGTTTAATCATTCACTTGTTTGAATTCCCACATGGGAAGCCCAATTCTGGTATTACCTGCCATGATATTGCTGGAATGTTGTTTTGTAAAACCATCTGTAATACTCATGGAGACTGGTAGTCAAAGTGTATCAGTCATTACTGACTAGTTGGGGGGCACAGGTGGCCCAGTCTTCTAAGGCGCCGTGATTCGCTGTGCAGAGTTGCGTCCCTTGGGCATGCCAGAAACCTATGATTGTGGGTTCGATTTTGTTTCTTGGTTTGTCAGCACCATACCCGTGCGTGTGGGTTTCACCGAAGTGGTAAATGTATGAGACCTGCATGACTTCGGGCTTTCCTCCCACATTAAGCTGACACGCCGTGATATAACTGGAATACTGTTAAAAGCGGCCTTAAAACCCAACTCACTCACTCACTACTAACTAGTTATTAACATCCATGTGTTGTGCATTCAGGTACACGGCCAATGACCCCTGCAACTCACGCTGCCAGTATCTGTACAAGGACCACTACCACTGCAGGGTGGATGGATGTCAGGTCCTCTTCCGATCCAAGGACGGGGTGCGAGAGCATGCCAAGTGAGTTACATGTTTCCGCCTCTTATGTAGTACCTCAGTGCTTTCAACATACTCCGGTAGCTGCATTCCTATTGGATGTGGGGTGGTCGGGTAGCCTATAGTTAAAGCATTCACTCATCTCGCCGAAGACCTTGGTTCGATTCCCGACATGGGTACAATGTGTGAAGCCAATTTGTGGTGTCCCCCGCCCTGATATTGCTGGAATATTGCTCAAAGCGGCAAAAAACTAAACTCACTCACTCACTCCTATTGGATGCCAGGTTTCACCAAAATGGTAACGTCTGATATCTGCATCACTTTGTTTTACTCCTATCTTAAGCTGACACGCTGTGATCAGGGTTAGAACTAAAATGTAATGTTAAATCAGTGAGGAAACTGGGAAATTTGTACCAACCTGCAGGTCTTTGTACTAGCCCCCGGCTTGTGGGCAGTGTTAATTTGATGATGGTACTGAAATGCTGTTCAAAGTGGTGTTTTTCTCAATTTAATACTGATTCATAAGAGAACAATAGATGAAAAGATGGTGAGGTGGTCTGTTGCTTAAGGTTCTTCCTTAAAGACCAGGGTTTGATACATGTGTATGTCCCATTCTTGGTGTACCATGTGATATTGCCAGAATATTGCTTAAAGTAAAAGGTGACTATGCTTGTCGTAAGAAGCGACTAACGGGATCAGGTGGTCAGGCTCGCTTGACTTGGTTGCGTGGATTGATGATTAGGATATCAATCACTGAATTGTCTGTTACAGACCGCCGCCATATAGCTGGAATTTTGCGGCAAACAAACAAACAAAGCTTAAAGGGGCAAAAATCAATACTCACTCTCATGTCCTTATACCCACATATGTGTGCTGATGTTGCTTGCCTTATCGTTTTTTTCCATGGATGTGCTGAAAAGTTTTTTCTGTGTTTTAGGTTCCATGAAATCCAGGACCGTATCACACCTCTTGTGTATCTGATGTATGAGGAGCTACAGGCATGTCCCCAGAGCTGCCAGCTCAACCTCAAACAGAAGCACTACCACTGCAACTGGGTACGTACATACAATATATCAGTGTTGAATAGAAGAGAAAGTTATGAAGCTTTGTTATTGGATTCATGAACAATATTTCCTATAAACATTCTCTAAACATAAAATGATAATACATATTGTTTTCGTCAAGATTCAATATTTGAGGTAGAAGAAATGAAACAACAATGAAATGAAAGACTAAAAAAATATGAAAAATAAAAATAATCATTCTGTTTTCAGACTGGGTGTTCCCATGCTATTCCCCACACCGGCCCAGCATTTGCCCGACTTGAACATTACCGCATCCATGAGTATGCCAAGGCTTCAGGTGGAAAAGGCAAGTTTGGTAATTCCAAGGATGACGAATTCTCAAAGCGAAGACGAGGTCGCCCTCCCAAGTATCCCAGGACTGAAATCCCAACTGTTCCGAAAGTGGAACTGCCAGAATCGGTGATCCAGGAATCTGTGAGACTGTACTCAGAGGGGAAGTTTGACCCAACGGCTGAGGTCATTAATGGATTCAAGCACTTCACATCGGATGAGCCCTGTCCGGACACACAGTGCATGTATTACATGAAGGATCACTTCCACTGTGCCCGACCTCGGTGTCATCATGCCACCGACAGGATGGATGTTCTCAACCTTCATGCAAAAGACTTTCACAACTTCGTCAACATCTTAGAAGGCTTCGAGTTCTTTGACCGAAATATTGACTGCCGACGTCCTCACTGTCACAACAACCGTGCTAATCGCCACTTCCATTGCCTGAAGCCCAAATGTGACTACTCATTCGTCCGGCACAGCACTATGGTACAGCATGACAGAAAACACAAGATGCCACCAGTTCCCAAAATTGCCCCAGTCCCAGCCTCAGCTAAGAAGGAGGTCTCCAATTTCATCCCCATCGTCCCAGCAGTCCCAGGATTACAGCTTGATCCGAAGAACAAGAACATTGTTAAGGCAGCTGGCACCTTCTACCCAATGTCTCCCCTGACTGACATACGCGGTACAGCTCCTGGCACAGTCTTCAGCCAACATCTGTCCTTGAGCATGGCTAGCAATCTCACAATGGCCAATACCCTCAGCACCCAGGCTATGGTGGCTCAGCCCCTACCGTCAACCATCTCTGCACTTCCTACCAACATGTCGACTTTGTTCATGGCTGGGGGACAGTTGCAGCTTCCCATGGCCAGCGCCATGCCCCTCACAGTGCTGCTACAACAAAAAGGGCTCACCCCTCCCCAGCCAAACTGGGGTCAGATGAGAAGCAAGATGCATTATGCTCTCAACTCAAACTGTGGACGGCCGTTCTGCAAGCTGAAGAAAAAGGATCATTATCACTGTCTGGAGTGTAACCAAGCTTTCTCCGACCCAGCCAGGTTGCGCTGTCACATGGGAAAACATGGTCTTAGATTCCGAAGATCTGAGTCTGGAGGGAGAGCAGGCAAACATGTACACCTTATGCCCAAACCTGCTCCAATGGCAGGTCTGGACCTCTCCAACACTGCACAGCTTGTTGAGGAGGAGGTGGATGAGGAGGAGGAAGAAGAGGAGGAGATTGCTGAGGAAGATGAGCAGCAAGAAGGCAGCTTTGAGCTCTCGGCATCATCATCTCTCAACCTCAACCCAGAGGCTTTTGCTAACATGCTGCAAAGTAGACAGACTCTCGGATCCGACAACAGCAGCGAGGAGATTGAGGACGAGGAGGAGGAGGACATAAATGGGAACAGTATGGATGGGACGCTTGTAGAAGAGGCCACGAATGGAAGCGACTCCTACAACTACAGTTATGACAGCTATGATGATGGTCCTCTGGTGGTTGATGAAGGGCAAGGGTCAGACGCTGGTAATGAGGATGCAGAGGAGCCAGAGGTTGGGCTCAATCTGTCCATTTCGCGCCGATCAGGACGAAAACGAATAGCTACAAGGCATGAAGATTTCATCGACAGTGATATGTTGATGGCCAAGCAGAGAAGATTGTCAAGCCCGCAGAGCTCAAAAGATCAAGTTGTCATCCCAGAGGGGTTTACCAAACATCGGTCTGGTGATGATTGCGGATATACCACCTGCACCTACCGCCAGAGCTCCACCCATTATCACTGTATGAGGGAGGACTGTGGGTACGGTTTCAGTGATAGAACACGCTTCATCCAGCATGTGCTACGACACGAAAGACTTGATAACATAATGGGTGGAGAGTTCTACCACTATCGCTCGTCTGTGGCGTGCGGAAGCTCAGATTGCGAACTGTCTATAAAGTCATCACACTTTCACTGTCTTAAGTGCCCATTCGCTTGTGCCGATTCCAGCAAAGTTCAAGCTCACCGTAAATATCATAGCAAGATGGACAGTATTGCATCCAATGGCTTTCAGAAGTTCACTGGCAATGAAGACTGCAGGAATACCATGTGCTCCTACTACAAGAAGCAGACTCACTACCACTGCACATTCCCGTCGTGTCACTATGCCGTCCTTGGCCCGGCACAGATGGCAGCCCATAAGGCGAAACACCCTCAGGAAGAGCTCAACTGAAGAGATTGTGATGAACAATGTTACACTTTACACAGCATTGTTACAACATGGGGACCATTGATACAATGTTACACCGTCACTGCGCCACTGCTGACACTAGAATATGCAACGCTGTTGCAGAAGAGTTGAAGTATATTTTTTGCAACACCATCACTGCTGATAATACCCATGGACTGTTCCCATTCCTTTGTTAAGTTTATTGTTGATTTGTTTTGACTTAAATCACGACTGCTGCATCGGTTTACAAACAGTGACGTCCTACTCTGCTGATGATCAACCTTTTCGTGGACCTGTTTCCATGGCAACCTTTACATGGGATCTGCTTCCGTGGCAACCGTCAAGGAATCTAATTTCCTGGGCAGCAGAAACAGTTGGTCATGTTTCTTGTTTTGTTAAGTTTCTTTCATGAAGTCACGTAGACAAAGATTTCCAGTGTGACTATAATAATCCTTATGTGTACAATATTTTGCTATTTTATACTGACGTGTATTATGTGAGTTATGTATGTTATATGACCAGTATTTCCGGTCTAGCCGGCCACGCCCACAGGGAAGCAAACAATCTTGCCTCCACACATACCTAGGTTATGTCAAGCAGACATATTTTCTATACTGCTGCAGCAAATGGCTTATACTGTCTCCTGTCCATTATATCTTAATATTGATGTAACAAGTCATATTACATGTGATACATCTTCCCTACTGCTGGTGTCATGCAAATTCTGCTGTATTGATGGCTGTAGCAGGATTTTCTATTGGCAGGTGGCCTGTCAATCACTTGTTGAAAAGAATGCTGGTATATTATTGGTTGAGTAACAATCAGTCATGTTGATTTCACTGCTACTAATACTGTGACAATGGCCAGTGATAACCAAGGTCTTCAATTTTAGGAGGCCATTTGACTCATAATTTCAGAGCATAGTTTCTGTGATATATTTTCTTCAAATCAGTTTATATTCTCTGATATCAGTGGATAGTTCAAGATGTACTCCGGATTTATGCAACTGTTTATATTATGCTTCATAAACTGCTGAATTTATGCTGGTGTTTGCATATTTGATTACTTTGAGCAATAAATTGGACAATTTTTCAAATATTATTGAGTACTAGTGCTTTTTGCCTTTTTTTTGTACAAAAGGGGAGAAACTCCTTGTTACCTCTTTGAATAAATAGTTTTTTATTCCACAAAAAATGTGCATCAATATGTGTGGAGGCCAGATCATGCAATATCTGTAATATAATGGCTTGGTCACATGATCACAAGATGTCCCAGAGTCATCCAAACATTGTTTACTTAATGTACAAATTCCTTTGTTGCCTCAGTACCTATCAAGTCATGTAGTCGTTGTACCCTTGTAATCCTGATCTAGAGGTTTGTATCGAGATATTTCTGTATAGTCAGTGAGTTATATTTCAGAACAGTTACGTGGTAGTCATTTACTAATCTGCAGGAGTAATTATTTAGATGTACCTATGTGGCTGTATAAATGTACAGAGATAACAGCAGAATGCAGAGACTGTTTATATTGTATTTATTCAATACAGAGGACTATTGAAACTGTGATCATTAATACATTATTTTAGTGAACATGGCAATATGCTATCTGAGATCACCGCTGAGAGTCACTGCAAGTCTGAGGCGTGTGCAGCACTCAGACGGACCCTCCCTGTCTATGCAACCATTTTAGCTGAATAGTCCACCATAAAGGTCTTAATCACAATCCGTCTTGGGGCTCCCTCGTCCAGTGGCTTGATATACACAGGGTGTGTATGCCTATCAGTAGCATGAAGCCAGGGCCCTGATCACGAAGTGTTCGTAGCGCTATGATGATCGTAACTCCCATACTTTAACATAGACTTACGACAGTCGTAGCGCTACGATCGTTTTGTGGCCCCGATCCACAGAGTGTTTGTAGCACTACGATATTAGTAAGCCTTCGTTAAACTATATGGTTATGATGGGTCGTAACGCTGCAAAAACTTTGTGGATCAGGACCCAGGTCCAGTTAAATATGTACCAGGATAGTAAACTTAGCTAGGAGCCATGTTTATGGGATAAATGTTTTGACAATTTATGACAAGAAACTAGTTCTCAGTGAAACCGATTTTACTGTGACTACTTTAACTGGATATTTTGTCTGATTTGTAGTGGCACTGGTGTGATGTCACCACTCTAATTGTCTCGAACTACGGATAACTTGATGTAATTTTTATGATCCAAAGAATTTCTAGTTAACAAGGAATAGTTGTACACTTGGCATGATAGGATTGTGTCCATAGTGATACTATAATATGAACTTTACCTAGAATATTCTCATTTTGTACTGAAAAGATCATTTGTGCATGTCATATTACAGAAAGCATTGTGTAAGCCTGAAATATACCTTGTTGGTTAAGCACGATATGTATTATTTTGTGGCCCATTATCACGTTGTGTATTGTTATAATACAAGGAAATTTGCTGAGTTTGCAGATATTTCATTGTGTGTTAAGATTTTGCTCAGATTTCATTTCGTGAAAATCAAAGTGTTTGTACAGTTTCATCCCAAACACCAGTTTTTGATACTGCATGAAATGAGAGCATAGGATGTGTGAGTAACCGATGTGATGCCTGAAGCTGAGTTAGGTGGAAGATTGTGTGTGTACTCGTGGAGTGTTGGGCCCCGAAATGTGTGTCTTATTCAATGTACTTATGGCCTCTTGACTTTCATCCCCTCACGAATGATGTACACACAGTGTTATTGTATATAATATAACAGAATTTAAAATAAAAGTCTATATATTCAACTAAACAAATCCTGCAACATCCTATTTTCTAGATATGTCACTGTCAGCTAGACTAGACCTGTTTTTTGTTCCATAAATCCAGTTCATTCCATTGTCAAATACCATTCCTACCCAATTCTCAGCAGCATTGATTAGAGTCATGTATCTTGTGAGGAAATTGCTTGTTGTGAATGTTAGTGCTTTTATAAGATCATGAATCTTTATCATTCTCCAGAATGTTTTCTTTGTTCTAAATGACACTGCTATGCCTTTTTTTAAAGATTTCATTTGTTTTAGATCCAGTATAGATTTGGATTTTGCGTCCTTGAATTTTGGTTAATCAATAGTAATTATGAATAGTACAGATATGATTTTGTTTGACACTGTTCATTACATAAATTCTAAGCTGTGTAAAGAAAAATTATGAGTACCGTATTTGACGTAATAAGCACCCAGGGCGTTCTCAAAATTAGAAATAGGTGGCTCTTATTAGAATATAATTTTGGTGAGAAAAAAAAAAGTTGAAAGATCGTAAATTTTCGTGGTTTATGCTGACAGCCTGAAATAATACTAAAGAAAAGTGTGTGCGTATTATACACAACAGATATATTTTCCAGAATTTAATTGCCCATAATTAAGGGTGCATATAACACGAATAAATAAGTCTTGTGTACATTGATCAATCGGAAGGGGTGCTAATTGGGATTGTTCACTGGCTAATATATTAGCAAATATCGCCCTGGGCGCTTGTTAGAGCGGGGTGCTTATTACATCAAATACGGTAAGTGCACTTAGTTGATTTCAAATAATAGAGCCTTAAGATGGTTAATTTTATCCCATTAAATGGAATATTAAGAGTAGTTTTAGTACCCTAGGCTGCTTCTTAGGAGAACATTTGGAAAGTCTCCCAGAGATTAATTATATTTAGTGTTATAATGAATATACTCACGATACAGATGAATCTTAAAAGTTACTAACATTATATTATACATTCCATGTCAGTCAGTTCAACAATTAACCAATATAATAGCTGTAATTTATTTTATTTATTTCATACTTATATCAACAAAGTCATTTATTGTTACCAGTACATTTGTCCTTGAACATTTTCTTTGATTTTTTTTATTCACGCTTTCGCTGGAATATCTAGCCTTATATTTATGTCTTGTATCAAGTTTCTGTAATGTAATTTAATTTTTGTGCCAAATTTTGTTTTTGTAATGAGTGATAACTTTCTCACCACTGTGTATGTACTGCTGGTTTCAATGTGTCACTGTTTGATAGTGCCCTAGGAACATGCTTATTGCAATGTCTTGATGTGTAGCATAGACGTTGTGTGGTAGAGTTAATGTAGAATAAACATTTCTCTTTTTGTAATCCCCCTCATTCAGATATTGTTTAGTAGAAAATTTAGATATTTTTGCAATACACAATAAGACTATTGTAGGATATGACAAAATGATATTTACTTATGAAATCAGATACTGTTCTGGTATTTCTTTGTTGGATAAAATAATTCATTCTTAATTTAAATCCTACAATGTATTTTCTTTGTATTGTAGGTTGATATAATTGCTATTTCCTTTTAAAATCATTTACAATTTAGTTTTTTTTCTTTGTACAACATATGGTTTTTACTTAACAATGGATTTTTTAATTAAGTTTGAAATATTTCCACACATTTGCTTATATAAGATTTACTTACTTAGATTGTGCTGTAATTTGGAGAAGTCTTAATTTTCCTGTTAACTGTATATATATAGATATATATATATGAGACACAAACTGCACTTGGAGTATACATTGTGTTTAAGTTATCCTTCTTGTGTTATATACTCTGCAAGCAGCCATGTCTGCACACAACTATTCACAGCTTGGGTCACAGATCAATCATGGTCCTTAAGTTTATATTCCATATTCTGATAACATGGCTACTTTTCTGTTATCCAATATTTTGTTTATGAAAATATTTATTAAATATTTTTTGTAATTTTATTAATCGATACTAAACTGCTCATTGAGATTCTTGAAAAGAATCCTAAAGTCATGAATATCTTTTGTTTGTATGCAATATTTTCTGTAAGATGAAAAACCAAGTAGATGTGTTGATACGAGTTGTTAGGGGAGTTCTTTAAAGCAAAAGACCTAGTGGTATCGTAATGGCAGGGAGAATAATGTCAACCGACTCTTTGCAGGACATTCCCAATGTGTATTATTTTTTTGTGACGTTTTCCTAGTGATTTGACTTCTACGGTATGTAGTTATACAATGTTTCTAGTCTTGAGATCAGAAATACACCATCTTCCTGCTGCTGGATATGTAGATTTAGAATGTGTGGTGCCTCGAGTGCTTTTACCCAGTGCAACGAATACCAATTGTGAAATTTCCAGCGAAACTAGTTTCTTACTACTAAATGTAGCCAGTTGGGTTGTGTCATGGTTGTGTGTTGAATTCTTTCAACGAAAAAATAAAACCATTTTAACATACATGTGGAGACAGTATTTTGTAATGAATTTTGGAGGACTTTTACTGTGTGTACTTAATGTTTACAGTTGGTGTGCTCAGATGAGTCTCAGTGTCAGTCATATGTGTTATTGTGTGAACAAATGCCAGCACAGAACATCAACAAAGAAGTCTCTTGGGCTGTTACAGTTACTCTTGATAAGTTTACCATCGAAATCTACCCTGGGTACAAAAGAATACATCAAGTTGTACCAGATGGCATTGCAATCACGATTGTCTATGTTGAAAATGATCCGCAAAAGTTTGTCGTTGAACAACATGGCTGTTCCCAATCCTGCTAGAATTCTCCGAGAAGTTTCGGTGTATCTAAATAAAATACCAACATTTCCCAAGCTGATTTTGTTAGAAAGAGACTTGAGATTAAGTCCAACGTTGACCTTGTGCCAAGAGTTCTCCCCCCAAATGTCATAAAGCTGGTTCAAGCTAAATGACTCATGTCCCTAACAAAAATAGGGTTGGTTGGTTGGTTTGGTGTTTTACACCGCACTCAGCAATATTCCAGCTATATGACGGCGGTCTGTAAATAATTAAGTCTGGACCAGACAATCCAGTGATTGATATGATGAGCATCTATCCACACAATTGGGATCGATGACATGCATCAGCCAAGTCAGCGAGCCTGACCACCCGATCCCGTAAAATAGGGGTACACTTAGATATGTTCAGGGTAAAAAAAATATACAACACAAATTTGGGTACAACTCAATATTTATCGTTTTGTACCCAGGGTACATTTTGATGGTAAACCAGTCGAGAGTGACCCTATCAGGGTCAGTTGGTGTGGAGAACAATCACATTCAAATTAGATAAATACATTCCACAAAAGTTGTGATCATAGTCCTAGATCAGTTTGTGAAATGTATGGAGGGTTGCACTTCAATCCAAACATATCCTAACTGCTAGTTTGAAGTATCAAATGGTTTCATCATTTGTCAGAACTTTTTCTAGTACGAAACAATTTTAATGTATATACTCATATTCTGATGTGTATTCATCAATGCTGATTTTGATTTTTATGATTGTAGATTTCAATGTGAGAGAGCACTGTCACAATGAATAACACTTGTACTGTTTGAACATCGCATGAAGTCATGAGAGATACTAACAGGACTTTGGGAGTGTACAATTCAGCCAGACCATGTTTTACAGCAAATCTTCATAAATGTTGCAAAACTGAACCAAATGAAGATGTAGTATTTGATTGAAAATATGGGTGTTTTTTAAACCTAAAAAATTGTGAGATTAAGTGAAGAGTGAAAATGCTTTTTTTTTAATTTTATTTTTTCCTTTCTTTTATAACATATGGCTGTTTTTAGGGGACCAAACTCAAAATGTCCTGACAATTTGACTTTAACCTGCCTACTGATTCATGACATTTTCTGAAATATTGAACAACATTCAAGAAATAATTTAGTCTGATTTAATGGTACTGGTAATTTTTTATGTCATGATTCACAAATTCCAATATTGAAACAAATACATAAAATTGTGATTTGACTGCAATATTATATAAATATAACAGGAATACTGTTCAAAGCGGTGTTAAACCCAACTCATTCTCTCACTGTCACTACATTCACCATATAGCCAGATTCAGGAACAAAAATGAAGAGATGAGACTTTATGATGACTTTGTGCTATGATTCGTACAGTGGTTTTATCCAGTTTGATAAGCATTGACACTGGCATCTACTTATGGCAACTAGCAGACCAGGTTCCTCATATATGCATCATTCCAATATAACACAACACGTTTCTGTGTTAGCTGTACTAAGTTGTATTCAGTTTATACTCTTGTATATAATGCCTACTTGAGTTTACACCACTGGAAACAACCAGAGAGTATTAAATAAACAGAATGTATTAGCTAGCTCTGTTTTTGTCTTTGTTTCACATCGTTTGTTTGTTGTTTAACGCCACACTCAGCAATATTCCAGCTTTATGACGGCAGTCTGTAAATAATCGAGTCTGGACCAGACAGTCCAGTGATTGACATCATGAGCATCGACCCACGCAATTGGGATACGATGAAATGCATCAACCAAGTCAGCCTGACCACCCGATCCTGTTAGTTGCCTCTTACGGCAAGCATGGGTTGCTGAAGATCTATTCTTTCCTGGATCTTCACGGGTCGTCTTTGTTTCACAGGAGAGCAAGCTCCTCAGTGATAGCCCGTTAACAAAGCTCTCCAAACTATCACTGCCACCAGTCAAAGTTCCCCACTGTGGTAGGTAACCACAACCATGCATGGAGTTGAACTCTCAACCGACCGACCGTTGTGTTTGCAAACAAGTGATGACTGTTGTGACGCCAAATACTCTTACCCCAGCTAACTTATTTTCTTTGTTTGTCAATTTGAATTTCTATTTCTTTTCAACTATCATATAGATGGTTGATTTTCCGTTAGTTTGCAATCTTAAACCAATCTGATTATAAACAAACAAAAAGGTCAACTCATCTGGGAAATCTGGTCAGTTGTAAACCTTTTAAAAATTCACTATGATGGCATTCCCGAACAAATAAACAAAAGTATAAAAGTGTAGAAAGAGGTGTCATACCTTGAGACTGAGATCAAATGACAATGTCGACACTTTGACCAGCCTTATAATCTAAAAAAACCTAAGATTTTTTTTTAGACTTAAGTTCTTTTATGTGTATAACATCTCCATCGTACTGGACTCATTTGCTACCATAGTTTCGTCTTGGAAGTGACATAATCTCCATCTCTCATAACTATCTCACCACAGAGTTGCTCTCATTCATGAACGTGTTTTGATTGGACAACATGTTTTAGCATTGTGCATTTCAAATAGGGCTCAAACGAAACTACAATGGTGAATAAGTCTCTGGTATATAATTACAATATATCCTAATGGAATAGAGATTCATGAGATGCAAGAATGCACCTGGACTGAAATCAGGCACTAATAAAACCTGGTCCAGTTTTAACAATCATTGTGATGCTACAGTCACAGGCTTGACAGAGTTACCTCCCTTATATCAGTTACCCAGCAGTACCATTTCATTTTCAGGCAACAAAGACCTGAAGTTCAACTTCTGTGTTTAGACATGGCTGGCTGATAACCATGATGAGTAATCTAAATTCCCTCAGTGAAGTCCTAGCTGTGTCAACCTCAACACATCACTATGTAGGCTATGTCATTTTTCAATCTGTTTCTTTGTTTGTTGTTTAACACCACACAAAGCAATATTCCAGCTGTGACAGTGGGCTGTAAATAAACAAATCTTGAACAGACGATCCAGTGATTGATATTGTGATCAAACGATCCACTTCGTTGAGGTACGATGCAGTCAATTTTAACAACAAATTCATATGTAGCCAGATGGGCTTGTTACTTTTAAAAGATACTTGCCCTTCTCCAAACTAACTGGCCCAAAACTAAATGTTGGAGGCCATGACCCAGGTCGCTCCAAAAATGTTAGAACTCCTAACCCCTTGAACATCATTTCCTGGACGTTGAGATTAAATCTTGGCTTCCATTTGCCTCATTTCGTGGTGATTTTATGAGCAAATAAAGATGTTGTTGTTGTTGTACAGAACATTACAAAATGGCCGCCGGTTGTGTCATTCTTCCGAGATGATCTTTGCACTAACCATTCACGAGACCTCACCCCCCATAAATAGTTTCTCACTGAAATTACAGGATTCACGAGCAGTGTCCAATTAAAAAAATTAAACATACACAGAGAAGGGGTGAAATTTGGACACGCCAGACGGGCCATGTACTTTATGTTTCAGCAAGCCTTTTGTAATTTTAACTGGCCACGGGTCAACGGGTCAGCATTTAAACCGACCCCTGCTCTTAAGACCAGCATAGGTGCTTCAGACCCTCCCCTAATGGTTGTCATATTTTTGGATGACCCTCCCTGTTGCTTATACATTTTTTTCAAGACCCTCCCTGTAAAGACAAAATGCATGAGCACTTTATATCCTATAACAAAATGTTCATTTTTTTCATGACCCTCCCCAAACCCTGAAGGCAGTCACAACAAAACAGTGTTTAACGAAACAATATTTAATGAAACATCTGCAAACCTTTCATCCACATCCAAATGAGTTAAACCGACAGAGCATACATTTACAAATATGAGGAAACAACATAATTTCGCCATGTTGAATTTACTTATTCTTCTTCTTTGTTTTTTGTTGTGTGTTGGGTCCATCCCCGTCAGCCCTGGGGCGGGCCTTCTGCCACTGGAGGGGCTTGCGGCGGTACATCGGCCATGGGGGCAGGGTAAGCTGCAACAAGCAGGTGATGCATGCAACATATAAAAAACAATTTGATTACTCTATCTGATGCACCTCCCCCTACCTCTTCCCCCAAATAGGTGAGTTGAGGTTAAATGGGGGTTTAACGTCACATCCAAGATTATTGCACTTATACAGTGACGTGCATGCATGTGTGTGTGTGGCGGCTTGTACTAGTCTGGACTGTTGTCGATTTATAGTACTAGCCCACCGAGATACCATGCCGCAGTTTGACATGAATACCCCGCTCAGACACAGTATAATGCGTCTGAGCCAATCAGAATCCAACATTCATGTGTAAGGTAAAATAATAGATTGTATGACACCATTTACTTGGATAACTTTCTTAAGAAAAATAACCAAAAAATTCTGAAATGTCTCATTTATTTTTCAACTTTTTCCTGCCTACAGACCTGGATTTGTCAAATCTAGCTAAAAAAAATCTTGAAACCATTGTTGAATTTGTCTTAAAATGGCAAAGTGAAAGAGGTAATTTTTTATATGATTACCATGATTATCTATTGTCAAACAGGCAAGTGGACTATATTACTTTTGTTCAGGTTTGTTGTTTAATGCCACACTCAGCAATATTCTATATTTATGAAGGTGGCCTGCAAATAATCGAGTTTGGACTAGGCAATTGAGTGATTGACATCATGAACATCGATCCACCCAATTGGGCAACTGTATTAAGTTGAGTGAATGATGACAGTCCGAACTAACAAAACAGGTTTGATTTTAATGCCACTTCTGTTGAGTCAGCTTGGGGCAATGTTTAGCGCAGAGCCCAGCAACATTCCAGCTCTATGATGGTGGCCTGTAAATAATGACCAGACTGTGCAGTGATTGATATTGTCAAAAACAAATCGTGTCCTTGGAGTACGAGGACATAGTATCAACAAAGTCACCGAGCCTGACCATCTGATCCATTTTCGACACCTCTTTCAAACAACATTATTGGGTGCTGGGGACTTGTTCTAACACAGAAATCCCATTGGGAGATATACATAAGTATGACAAAGTTGACTTACAAGGCAGGACAGGGCAAACCCAGCCAGGAGGATGTACATTGTCTGTGAGAACTGCTGGCAGATGTACCCCCACACAAACCCAACAAACTGAAACAGATATAACCCATCATCATCATCATCATCATCATCATCATCATCTACCTCAAATAGGCACCATTCCAAAGATATGCTCAAGGTGCTACAATGTGAACATCTGTCCAAAGTATATACTTGATACATACACCTGATTAGTAACCCAAGTTTAAAACTAACAGTCTGGCCTAAACAGTATTACAGTCATATCTGGATGTGGGAGGAACACCAAAAGTGATGCAGGTCGTAGACATTTATCGCTTTGGTGAAACCAACAAGCATGTGTATGGTGCCGATAAAACAAGTATCATAAGATTTTGGAGCGGAACCCAAAAATCACTGGATCTTGGCACAACTAGTGAGTGAGTGAGTAACAGTATTCCAGTTATATCACAGCGTGTCAGCTTAATGTGGGAGGAAAGCCCGAAGTGATGCAGGTCTCAGACGTTTACCACTTCGATGAAACCCACGAGCATGGGTATGGTGCTGACAAACCTAGAAACATAATCGGGGCGAACCGGGATTCTAACCCACGATCATAGGTTACTGGCATGCCCAAGGGACGCAACTCCGCACAGCGAATCGCGGCACCTTAGACAACTGGGCCACCCTGCCCCCCTTGGCTCAACTAAGGGATACAACTCTGCATAATGGTTTGCTGTATCTTTGCCCCTGTTGATAATGAAATAACAGTAATTTACTTACACCAAACAGGACAATGATGATCTGGAATGTTTTCTCTGCTCGACGCTGCCCATCAAAATCCTGAAAATATAATTTTCGTGATGATATAATTCATATTTGTTAGAACGCACGTTCCAAATACCTTCCAACATTTTGTTAAGGGATGTGAAAGACCTCCTTCCTCAATATGTTCAATAAATTGTTTTAAAATCTAATTATGAGCTTAAATAATACAAAACCATACAAATCCTGTAAAAGTAATTTCTCTGCTCATTTGAGCTGTATCCAACTGCCGTGGGCTGCCATATTTCATATCATTAGTAGACCTCCTCCATGGTCTAATGGATAGAGCGTCTGCCCGGAGAGCAGAAGGTCAGTGGTTTGATCCCAGGCTATGTCACACCAAAAGACTTTTTTTTAAATGGTACTTCTTGTTACCCTGCCTTGCACTCTGCATTAGGGGATAAATGATGAAATAGATAATGTGGCCCCTAAAAATAAAGAAAAAAAATGAAAGGAGGTCCAGCTGGTCACTTTGTTTAGCATACCTTTAACTGAGAAAAAAGGTGGAATTTTCAAACACAATGTTCAACAAATATATTGTTCTACAAGACAATAAACTTGAATGAGAACCAGAAACAATAAAATTGAAGTGGTCCAGCTGGCTGAAACAAAATCTGTCGCCATGTTTTGCCTACCTTTAACAAACAGAAATGGTGGAATGTATGTGTCATATAAAGGGGCAACTTGTGCAAAATATGTGAAATAAGTAACATTCCTAATATTATGCAATTGCCTGTCAAACTGTGTGCCAGTGAGTTTTCTCTGGCACTGGTCAAAGTCGACCACTGAAATGTTTTTACATGGATATCAGGTTATGGATATTAGTTATTCACTAATTAAGTCAGACTTATCAAAAATAAAGCATTGCTTAACAGACACCATACGAGCAAATTTGTTTATTGCGATATCTACTTATTATCTAGTGATCACGGTGATACTGGGATAAGAGATGACGTGTTTCTCGCATCTGGGAATGGAACATATGGCATGTTCTCTCATTCGCGTCAATTTGAAATTTTCTTTGTCTTCAATTAGATTCCCAACAATAACTAAATAAGAAAACTGTGTTTCTTACCATGTACACAGGAAGTGACTTAATACTATCTGGGACCAAGCTCATGGCAAAATCCATTTTCGAAGATATTCGTGCTCGCCGACAAAACCGGAAGTAAAAACTCTTCTGCGAGGAAGATAGCTATCTATATTCTTACATATGTTTCACAACTTACTAGTAATGTATATTCAATAAAAATACAAATTTGATCATTTCTGCAATAAAATATATCCATCTTTACAGTTAATATAATAAATACAAATAACTAGAGTTTTAAGAAATAACACTTCCAACAAAGATCATATCATTCTCATATCAGAAGTATAGTTTATTTCATTGGTAATTAGTTGTAAAAATATAGTACCCACATTGATCTGCGAGACTTTGAGAGGGACGAGACTTTAGAAGGGAAAATGATAACCTTACTGTAGCATTTGTTTATATTGTTTATAAACAACTTGTGCCAACGTTTTAGTTATTTTACAGCATTTTCTAGTCTTGTTACAACAAAGATCAAGTTTGCAACATGGGTGTCCCAAAGTTTTACAGATGGATGAGCGAGCGCTATCCATGTCTCAGCGAAACTGTCAAAGAATTCCAAGTAAGCAGTTTGCGATAGGCAGGCGACGTCTGTTGTGAAAGCGTTTAGCATATTTGATAAATGTAGTTCGATGGTATGATGTCATGATGTACGATTGATGCTGGGGAACAGACACTCAGATATATATTTTTATGAGGAGACATTCCTTTTATTCATAAACTTTCTTTCATTTAACATGGGAATATTATCTGTGAGGATGGTTTCAACCAGAGGTGTTGCACAACAGAGAATCATTTTGATTTTGAGTACTCATAATTATGACAATTACTCCAACATAGAAGTTCCATTATAGAGTGGCGTAACCTCATCAGTGACATCCCTCAGGGCCACATTTTTAACAAATATGTAGTATTTGTCATTAAAGGGAAGGGGCGGTCGGGAAGCCTAGTGGTTAAAGCGTTGGCTCGTCATGCCGAAGACCCGGGTTTGATTCCTGACATGGGTACAATGTGTGAAGCCCATTTCCGGTGTCCCCCGCTGTGATATTGCTGGAATATTGCTAAAAGCGGTGTAAAACCATACTCACTCACTCACTCATTATTGGGAAAGAACACTCCAACTTGAAAGTATTGAAATATGGAAAAGCTTTTTCTTAGTGGATTTAAAATTTGCGTATTATGGAATATAATCTCGACTGATTTGACTTGTGTTCTGCGCTCCTCCATGTAGCGACACCTATCGGAGGATAAAAAAATGAGAAGCTGTATATCATAACCAATGATATACAATCAAGAGCTGTAGTAAAACTGACATGTGTTTTTGTTGCTGATTAATGCATACACGGCTTAAAAGGGGAAGTTATTGGTCAACATCATATTATACACAGTCAAAAAGTACATAGTATCCCTTCAGAGAATTTAGGTAAACAAACAGGTGATAACAAGCTTGGTTAATAAAAATGATGATTTACCATATTTTCTATTTTGCTAGGCATTTCTCTATGCGTAGAAATACAGATTACTGTGTGTATGTTCTCGTCAACTAAGCCAGAAGTAGCAATCAGCTGTACGCACATTTTCTATACCAATCTACCAGTGATTCGATGAACAAAATAGGCCTACCCAATAATGTAAGTTGTAACTTCAAAGAATTTTGATGCAGTGATAGGATGAATTGTATCTGAAACTATGATTTTATCAGAAACAATATCTTCCAATATCGAGTTCTGTAGTTGCAACTTTTACAATGTATATTTAAAATAATAATAACCATAAGAGAAGCACTTTTGTAATCTGATTGCTATTGCCAGATATGTTTTACGTATGGAACAATTTGATCAGTCACCGTTGCGGCCTCCTGTGTTCTTGTAACAGCAAATGAATGAAAACAATATGCGAATATCGTAATTACAACCGACAAAAGTATATCAAGCAGTTACCTTGGTCAAGGAATGTATCCATCAATATCCATGTAAAGGAAAAATATCCTGTACATCTGAAGCTGTACAAAGAAACTTTTTCGATGTCTTATATTTTAATATATATATAGTGTTTCAGGATATTTTAAGATAATAACCCGCGTTCTTCTCTCAACTGATCACTTAAGTTTGGTTTGGGTGTTTCACATAGGTGTCTAATGGTCAGCTGAGATAGCACACGTGCCAACTATTTTCATGATGTCCACTTTCTTAAAAATATCCATTGAGGTTGATAACCATGAGCAATCAATCAACGTATTATCAGCTGATCCTTTCCTTTGAACAAAGTATGTTGTTTCAGATATGTGTATATTCCGTCTGCTTTAGTAAACCTACAAATATAATCACTTACTTTTGACCAGTCCACTGTGCAAGATTATAGTAATTAATCAATCAACATATTATCGCTTAATCCTTTGGTCGATGTTTCTTTCTACTTGCCTCGTCCATATTACATTACACGTAATACCTTCACCACATCAGCTCTGGATTTATAACCTAATCTTAGATTAAATAATCATCCCAGACATAAGAAATGCCAAATCCTAAACATTGATTGCTATGTATTCTTGACACCCTCAGAGGCAGGGGTAAATCATACACTGAATGTTATTGAGTTATTCTGCATAGTCTTTGTCAGGTAATCTGAATGGATCTAGCACTAATAACACTTGCAATAAAGTCATTAACTGGTCATCAAGTGAATGATGAAAAATGCAAGCATGAAAAGAAGGCAGTAGTAATTGTTGTATCATATACAATTTGCCTGATGAATTAGTGTCATTGCTGTTTTCAGTATATGAACTGAACTTCATTGTTGCAAAAATAATACGGACACATATTTGCTGTATATTAAATTACATAATTGTACGTGCACATTTACACATGCAGATGAATTTGCAGGGTGAAATGTTTTAGTAAGCATCATCCAATCAAATGTGAGGATTCAAAGGGATTCCCCCCACTGGACCGAAGACCAGTTTGTTGGATCGCTGTCGCTAATTGGCATCTGGTGATTAAGCAGGTTAATTTAAATGGTGCCGAGAGTTGGAGTGTTGTTTCCCTTTAACTTTTTTTCCCCAAAATTGTAGTTATTTAGTTCATTTAGTTCAAGTCATTATTTAGTTCAAGTCATTATTTCAAGCCAACGTGGCTAGAAATGGCATATGAAAAATGTAGAAACCGTTACTAAGGTTGGAGCTTGTGAACATCACTGACCCACATGTCGGAAGGTGCCCGATAGTGGCATTCTTTCCTGCCTCTGTCAAATTGCTCTTATGTTTTCAATACATGTGTTAAACTGTCACCAAACCTACGCTACATGACTGTCAGAATGAATCATATCTCTGAATGATTTGTTTTGAAATTTCAAAGAGCAAAGATAGGATATTGTAGGGCAGAAACATATAGTTAGACGACACTATGAATGTTATGCCATTTATGGCCAACCAGGAATACTAGAGAATCTGCATAAGCTGGTTGTTGAACAGTTTCTGTTATTATTCATGTGTTGTTATAGCAATATAACTTGTCATGTCATGTTTGTATGTATCGCGATACAGGGGTTGTAAATATATGTGTTGTACAATACTGTATTGCCGTATCATTACACCACTACTGTGGAGTACATACAAATGTGGGGTAGTCGGGAAGCCTAGTGGTTAAAGCGTTGACTCGTCATGCCGAAGACCAGGGTTCGATTCCCGACATATGCATGAAGCCCATTTCTGGAATCAGGTGGTGAGGCTCGCCGACTTGGTTGATGCATGTCATCATATCCCAATTGCATTGATCAATTGTTGTCAATCACTGGATTGTCTCGTCCAGACTTGATTATTTACAGTCCGCCGTCATATGGCTGGAATATTGTCAAGTGCGGCGTTAAACAACAAACAAAAATGATTTGATTTGTAAGTGCATGATTTTCAATTTTCACTACACAACAACCAGAAATAGTTTTTGTACATATGGATAGGGGCAAGAGTGAAAATAAATAATAAAGGTATACAATGTATCAGTCATTTGTCTAAGACTCTATGACACTATTAAAAAAGCTATTCAGCAAGCGACACCAACGTGTGGACACCACAATCTTGTTGCTCTGAACACTGCCAAAGCTAGCTAAAATGGTCTGTTCAAATGGTGTTGGACACCATCCTGATGACCTAGTAGCTCATTGCAGCTTACCTTGACATTAGAACTTTATAACTCTTCCTTAAAACTACTGAGGTGAGTTGAGGTGAAATGGGGTTTAACGTCGCGTCCAAGATTATTGCACTTATATAGCGACGTGCATGCACGTGTGTGTGTGTGTGGCTGCTTGTACTAGTCCGGACTGATGCCGATTTATAGTGCTAGCACACTGAGATACCATGCCGCAGTTTAACATGAACACCTCACTCAGACACAGTATACTGACTCCGAGCCGACCAGTCCTTGTTTAAGCCTATTAATGCCGAGCGCCAGACAGGGTAACAACAAGTACCATCTTTTAACGTCTTGGTATGACGCGGCCGGGGATCGACCCCGGACCTTCCGCTCTCCGGGCGGACGTTCACCACTAGACCACGGAGGCGGTCTTAAAACTACTAAACATATCCATATCATATTCCCACTTGTCCTCCATGTCCCTGGCTTCAACAGGGTTAGAAATTAAGATTTTTCACTAGTCTGCCACAACAATACCTAATGGTATAAGTGCTATTCCACATGGAATTGTAACAAGATATTCATAAATTATTTGAGACCTCAATACAGAGCTCCAGATAAGCTTTTGGTGTTGTGGGTATTTTACCCATGCATTTTAAAATCATTGGGTATCAGTAATTCTATCTGGGAATTCAACTTTCTGTTACCCACTAGCTTTTACACATGTGGGTATTTAAGTTAAATATTTATAAACACTATTCATCTAGTCCCTGCAAACTGGTGTCGTGTGGGTTCGAGAGCTTTATCATGTTTTAGGAATCAAAAATACCACGATACTTCCACACGAATGTGTGATGGCAAATGATCATTATGTAACTGTCATCGTGGAGTTTGGCAAGGTTGACAAAATGCCTGTTTATAATTTCAAAGTAAGTTGCTGATTTGCTAATTGAATATGCAGGGTTACTTCACAATATTTTGAGGATTCACACAAGTTTTAATTTTGTAGCGATTCTTTATGTTCGTTGGATATTTGATACGCTTGGATTTTATTTTACTGCGTATTTCTGCATTTCTGATGCATATTTTACACAGATACGCAGCTTATCTGGAGCTCTGTCAATATTTATAAAGAAAATATTTAATTGTCAAAATGATCAATGCTGGTAACTTTCACTAAGTGGCTGTTTTTGACAATTTAAAATGTTGACTTCATATCCAGGTGAGCTACATTGCCGTGTCATTATTTTTATTAATCAATAGTGTGCAGGTATTGAAATATGAACAGGAGAATGTAAACAGATTAGTCTGATTAAGAATTAATATTTATGTAGATTAATGATCAAATTTGTTAACTGATTCAGCGTGATCAGGATCAATCAGCCATTCTGAATAATTTCTCTGAAAGAGGACTTCGTGTACATGATGAATGCGA